TCTAAGTTTCATGAAAAGGGAGACATGTTGTCCATCAGCTGTTCAAGTTCGAAGGGACGTGAATCAAACGAGAGATCCAAGGTTGTGATACGGAATCAATGGGGCAAGTTTGAGCGTCCCGATTCGTTTGATGCTTCGGATGAGTACCATTCGCAGGATTTTTCAGTGGCACTCTACTTGCAAGATGAAATGGAAGCTAAGAGGAGTAATCTGGTAAGTATAAGATGATTAACGCTAGCCCTCCTTTGATTGATGTTTGCCATTGTCTTAAAAAGTTTGCAAGGGTTGTTCTACTATCTAAACCTCCATGACTTGATGATGTTGTGACAGAGTTATCAGGACCAAGTGGACAAAGTTGAATACTCTGGGCCCTTGTTATCTCAATCGAGCCGAGTGGATGAACTCCTAGACAGACACGAGAGGCACATCCGACAGACAGTTCGAAGATCGTGGTTCCAAAGAGGTACATGACATTTCACCTCAATGTCAGCATTTTCTCTTGATATGTTTGCCACATGATCTTAAACACAAAGTTGAAATAAGTTCGCAGTGCCTTCGTTTCGAGCTCGTTTGTCTTTCTGTCTGCAGTCCTTATGTTTGCCATGTGTTTGCTTTTACATTCTTCTCAGAATCATCTGTTCTCACACCTGTAGGTAAAAATTGATTAGTAATCAGTTTTGTATTAGAAGAAAGCACCCAGAGAAGAGATCTTCTCAGGTTGAACATGGCAATCACTCAAAAAATTTATTGATTCCTGAAGATGTCATAGCAGTAAATTCATAAGCAAAGAAGTTAAAGACATTGCTGTTGTTCAACACAAGTACACACGTTGGAACGTCTCACGAAATTCGAACTATTTGGATGATCAAACGAGTTCATTTCCTTCCAAACAGCCATTTTTTTTTCTCTCTGTTTAGTTCCCTGAGTATTTTTTTATCCAATCCTGTAATGTATAGTCTTGTACTGATAGATGATGAGAAAGTATTATTGTAAATGTTCCGGATTCGTAAGCATGGCAGCAGCTTCTCGTTCAATAACAACACAAAATTCTACCTGGGCAGTATCCTTATCAGGTGTTACTATTCTTAAATGCACTTATTTCTTCACTTCACTGCTTGCTTCCATGAAAAGAAAAGGAGGGAAATAATAGTGTGATGCAAAACCATAAGAATCTTAAATCATGGTTGATTGTCTGCAGATGCCTTCTTCGGTCTTATTGTTGGGAGCAATTGTGAGATGTTAGGAGAAGAACGAAGCATTCTTGACTAGAGTGTGGAAACCTCTCCCTTATAAATGTGAGGGAAAGCCCGAAAGGAAAAGCCCAAAAGAGGACAATATCTGCTAGCGATGAGCTTGAGCTGTTACAAATGGTATCAAAGCCAAACATCGGGCGATGTACTAGCAAGGAGGCTGAGCACTGAAGGTGGGTGAATACAAGGCGGTGTGCCAGTAAGAACGTTCGGCCCTGAAGAGGGGTGAATTGGGGGGTCCCACATTGATTGGAGCAGAGAACGAGTGATAGTGAGGATGCTAGGCCCCAAAGGGGTGGATTGTGAGATCTTACATTGGTTAAGGAGGAGAACAAAACATTTTTTATAAGGGTGTGGAAACCTCTCCCTAGCATACGCGTTTTAAAAACATTGAGGGGAAACTCGAAAGAGAAAACCGAAAGAGGACAATATCTGTTAGCGGTAGCGGTGGGCTTGAGTCGTTATAGATGTCTTCTTCATGTTGGCAGCAAGCATCACCACCAAATGCTACATTTTTGAATGTCTGTCCTCTTCTGCAATTTGTTAATGAATCGTTGTCTTAGTAGAAGCGTTCAAACACATATGGAGTTAGAAAGAAGTCGAACCAAATCAGATCGAAAATCAAATCATAAACATGTTGTTTGGCAATCAAATCGCCTCCATTGTTGGGAAGAGGCAAGGACAAAAGGGAGAGGACATTCATAATGTACAAAGTCAAGCATTTGGGTGATCAAACAAGATAAGTCCTGCTGGGTGAAGAAGGGGGCAAAGGGATGTGAAGATTCAGAATAGAACAGTGGTTTTAGGATTAAGATAGTGAAATTGAGGGCTCCATAATTGAAATGATATTGTAGAAAAGAAAGCAAATGGGACATTATGTTAAAAGCCAAGCTTAAGCTACACATGGATGTGCCTCTTCCTTTGTCCTCATCTTCTTTGGTAATTAGCATTCATCCTTATTACAACAACCTTCAATTCCTCTCACACCAAATCATCATCACTCGACAAATGCATCGAAATAATTCATTTCCGCTCTGTCGATCAATGGTAGTATAAGAGATCTGTAACTCCTTCAAAAATTCATAGCTTTCTATCTATACTTAACATGTATCTCTTCTCTTAGTCATACTTGATGTATCACATCTGTCACTCCACCTCAACTGTAACAGTTCAAGCCTACCTCTACCAAATATTTCATAATCCACCCCTCTTCGGGGCATATCATCCTCTTTGGAACACTGCTCGATGTCCACCCTTCTCTGGAGCTTAGCGTCCTCACTAGTACACCGTCTAGTGTCTAGCTCTGACACCATTTGTAACAGCTCAAGCCTACCGCTAGCAGGCATTGTCCATTTGTGCTTTCTCTTTTGGGTTTCTCCTCAAAGTTTTTTAAGCGCATATGCGAGTAAAAGACTTTCACACCCTTATAAAAAAATAAAAAAAAAGTTCCTTCTCCTTTTCAATGGATGGATCTCTCATACAACTCTATCTTCCTTATCAGTGAACTAAAAATAGTGCATAGGTACCTGCTACAGGGGCTGAATCACAAGTTTAGACCCTCAGGTCTCACTTTTATGTCAAATTTGTCATTGTCTAATAGACACCTCAACTTTCGATTTCAGTATCTAATAAGTTCTCAAATCTTCAGTTTTAAGACTACAGATCCTTCATCTGTTCGACATTTTCTAAAATTCATGAATCTATTTGACACGAAATTAAAAGTAAACACAAAATTCAAAGTGATTTCAATTCAAAATCAAGTATCATAACTTGTTTGTTGGTTTGTTTTTGGCACCAACGATGTTGATCTATGAAGGTGGGATCCTCTTCAACCAATGTGTAATACCCATATGGGCTTCATTATTGGTTTTAGCAATCAAAGAGCTTCCACTGAGCTTTTGTTTGCTATGATTTCATGATATCATATGATTCCTTATGGGTAAACTTCAAACTTTTATTGATGTTCCAATGTGAATTCAACCAATATGGCCTCAATATTCACTCATATTCCTTGGTGTTTATTATTTGGATTAATTCTTTGCTACCATAATCTAAAGCATGCCCTACTTTGCAACAAACACACAACTACATAAAAACAAAAGAGTCATCATCAATTACAATAATATTATTTCAAAATTCAAAATAATTATATGAATAATCACAAAATTATTCTTTCTATCATTTGAAATACCATCAAAATTTAAAATAATTAATATGTTTTTTTTAATAATAATTAATATCTTATTTATTGAATTAGCTTGGGCTTAATTACTATTCTAACCAAGATAATAAATTTAAAATTAATCTAAAATTAGAAGCCAAGAGTATGATTTTTTTTTCTTTTTTCTTTTTCTATTTTGGATTATATGTCGGTTATTATTTATTTTTATTTGTAGATTTTAATTGTTTGTATGCATTATATATATATATATATATATATATATATATATATATATATTGTTTTCTAATGTTTACGTGGGTTTCCACTAATTATAATGTAATTCACAAAAAATATAGAATATTGTTTGGAGTTGAAATAAATTTGTTTGATAATAACATTTTTTAATTTTTTAATTTAGAAATAATCCTATTTTTATAAAATAGCCAATCTTAAAAGTTTATTGGAAAACGACAATATATTTTTTTTTATAGAAAAAAGATCATTCTTATAATAATATGCCATAAATGTTCTTTTTAAAAGACAATTCTTTTAGTTCTTTTTTTTTAAAAAATATTTTTCTAAAAAATACTCTTAAAAAAAGCATCATTATTTTATTTAAAAAAAATATACTAAATACTTCTATGATTAGTACGATGTTTAAAAAGTAACATAAGATTTAAAAATAATATTAACACAATTAACGTTCATTAAAAAAAAAAAATAGTTACATTTTTTAACCGTCAATATATCAAATAAAAATTATTTATCTACACCTTAAAATCATCTCCAAATTTTTTATTTCTTTTTTCTAAAAGCTTTAAGATATTAATATTATTTTTGAAAGTAAATGAGTATTTTTAAAAGGAGTACCAGAAAATTTTGTGTATTTTTTGAAATGATGTACAAAATTGAGTTGCATTTTTATTAATTTATATACTAATTATGCACACAAAAAAATGCAGCATATTATTTGAAGAAATATTTTTGGAATTATTCCAAACTTGTTCCAGTAATCAAATGGCAAATCACGTGCACTAGAAATCATTTTCTCCATTAAATACTTTATTAAATCATATTAGTAGTTTTTAAATACTTTATTAAATCATATTAGTAGTTTTTAAATACTTTATTAAATCATATTAGTAGTTTTTAAATACTTTATTATCACTATTATTAGCCCTCTTAAAAATTAAAATATTATTTTATTTATTCAGATTTTTGACACTCCCATGTTTCCAAAAGTAAGGTCCTGTCACGTTCTCTTTAAATAAATTCAATCATTTTACTTTATTTGCTAACTCAATTAAGATACTATAAACTTTTTAATTATCCAAATTTAAATACAAACTTAATTTAATTTTTCTTTATTTAAAACTCTCCAAATTGACTTTTAATTCATTATATAAATTAAAATGAAGGAATTTACAAGTATATAATTAAATTATTAAATTTCATTTTATTGACAAAATAACAATTTAGGAAAAATAAAAATATACATTATATGACACGTGTATGCCACGTGGCGAAACGGATTCTCTCTATTTGATGGTCGTTGGGGCGAAAGAAAAGTTGACGTTGCAGGGAAGCCAAGTGGAGGAGAGCAGACATCATATAAAGTTCTTCTTCCTCTGCTTTCCTTTTTCTTCATTTCCATTTCCACTTCTGCTCTGCAACTTTCTTCCATTCTTCTGCTCCTTTCATTTTCTTCCCATTTCTCACACCAATTTCTCTTAATCTCTCTCTGTTTCTTTACCTGAACTACGTAACTCTGTTCTTACATTCTCTTTATCCTCTTTTTTCTGTGATTTTTTTTTTCATGTTTTTCTGTTCGTTCTTCGTTTTGATCTTGTGTTGAGAATCTTTGAGATTTGTCTTTCTATCTAGCTGTTTTTTCACTCTGTTTTTCTTGCATTTGCTGAGTTTGTCCTCAAATAAGGATTTGTGCTCTGTTTTTTCTTCTGTTTCTTCTATGGAATATGGTGCATTTTGGATTCTATTTTGATGTTCTAGCTCTGGAGTTTTCTTGTTACGTTTTGTTTGGTGTTTTTGTACTGTTTTTTCTGGTTACGTATACTTGGACTTGACGGGGGGAGGAACAGCGCCTTCTGATGGCGCTGTTTAGAAAATTGTTCTGCCGGAAGCCTCCAGATCGGCTTCTAGAGATGTCGGAGAGAGTTTACGGTATGCTTCCATTTCTGTTTGTTATTTTTCCTTGTGTGTTCTCTTCCGAAATGTTGGGTGGCTCTTTCCTGCTTTGATGATCTCAACTGCATTGTACTCGGTGGTCAACAATGTGACCTAAATCTTGTCGAATTGAGCTTCTTTCTTTACTTCTGTGCGCGTTTGAGTTTGGTTTGGGAGTTCTGACATACTTATAACAGTTCTTCTCTTCTCCATTTCTCTGTCTATTCACTATTGTTGTGTACGCCATTCTAATTTGACCATGATCTTTTGTTCCCATTTTCTTTCTGTTCGAGATTTTTCTTAGACTGGTAAGCTGATATCTTTGACTTACTGCATGGATCTATAGTCATGAGGCAAGATTTACCCTTCGCAAATTGAAGCAGTTAATTGATTTTTTTGGAGCCTGGTTCTGTTCACCTAATGTTCTTTTGTGATCCCACCATTTGGAGAGGTGAACGAAACATTGCTTTTAAGGGTGTGGAAACCTCCCCTACCAGATGCGTTTTAAAACCTCGAGAGAAAGCTAAGAAAGGACAATATCGGCTAGTGATGGGCTTGAGCTGTTACAAATGGTATCAGAGCCAGACATCGGGCGGTGTGCCAGCGAGGACGCTGAGCCCCAAGGGGGTGGATTGTGAGATCTCACATCGGTTGGAGAGGGGAACGAAACATTGCTTATAAGGATGTGCAACCTCTCAATTACTAGATGTGTCTTAAAACCTTTTTAAAACCTTGAGTGAAAGCCCAAATAGTACAATATTTGGTAGCGGTGGCTTAGGCATGTATGAAAATCTTTTGCAGTGTCCCCAACTTTTTGTTATTTGTAGGAAGCTGCTTATTTTTCTGTGGAGTGAAAAATCCTCATTCTTTTTTTCCAGTGTTTGATTGTTGCTTCTCTACGGACGTCTTGGAAGAGGATGAATACAAAGTGTACTTTGCTAGCATTATACCAAAGCTGCAAGACCACTTTCCTGATGCTTCTTTCATGGTGTTTAACTTTAGTGAACGAAAGAGGAAGACTAGAACTTCAGATATATTGTCTCATTATGGTATGACAGTTATGGAGTATCCTCTGCAATATGAAGGGTGTCCACTACTGCCATTGGAGATGATCCACCACTTCATTCGGTCGAGTGAAAGCTGGTTGTCCTCTGAGAGACAGAAAAATGTATTGTTGATGAACTGTGAACAAGGAGGATGGCCAATCCTTGCTTTCATGCTTTCAGGTCTCTTATTGTACCGCAAACAATATGAGGGGGAGCAAAAGACCCTTGAATTGGTCTACAGGCAAGCTCCTAGAGAACTTTTCCATGTTCTCTCTCAGATAAACTCACAGCCTTCTCAAATGAGATACCTTCAGTATATTTCTAGGAGAAACCTAGGTTCTGATTGGCCTCCACCTGATTCACCTCTAATTTTAGAGTGTCTGATACTTCGGGACCTTCCGATGCTTGATGGAGGAAAAGGGTGCAGGCCTATCATACGCATTTACAGCCAGGACCCGTTAACACCACGAAATAAAAGTCCAAAACTTGCTTTTTCTAGTGCAAAGATGAAAAAACATGGTTGCCAGTATCTACAGGTAAAATCATAGTCACAAAATTGCAGTGACAAGAATTTGGAAAATATTTCAATGCCTTCTTGCATTTAATTGCAGGCAGCAAGCGGACTGGTAAAACTGGATGTCCATTGTCATGTTCAAGGGGATGTTGTTCTTGAGTGCATCCATTTAGATGGTGATCTAATACACGAGGAAGTGATATTTAAAGTCATGTTTCACACGGCGTTTGTGCATTCAAACAGTTTGAAGCTCAATCGTGATGACGTTGATATTATATGGGATGCCAAGGGGCAGTTTCCTAAAGATTTTATAGTAGAGGTAGGCTGTTGTTTCTTGTCTGTTAATCTTTTTTCTTTGAAGTCTTTGAATTTGAAGGAATACTCATATGTCAGGTACTTTTTCTGGATCCTGATGATGCAGTGCCAAACGTCTCTCCTGTGACGAAAAGTGATGACAAAATTGAAATAGTAAGCAATTCGACTGAGGAGTTTTTTGAAGTGGAAGAAATATTTAGCAATATAGTTGACGTGCAGGAATACGATGTTCAAATGGTACATGCTAATGAAGTAGATGATATTGATCATCAAACAGTTTGGAAGGAAGATGCAGATCCTCCTACATTCCAACGCTGTAAATCTTTTGGAGGGAGTCGTAACTTGGACAAGAAGATCGATTGTAACGTTGAAGCAGTGAAAGACATCACTGTCGATGATGTGACTTTCAAGCGAGATGAAAAAATGGACTCTGGTCTTCATGTAGTGAAGGACATTGTTATGGATTATTCAGATAAAAAGTCAAATCCTCCGCTATTTTCTGTTAACGTACTGAGACGCATGGGAATCAAGGAACTGATAGACGATGTGTACAACAAGTTGGAAGAGGTTGAGCATCAAGGGTATCTAGAAGATACTGCTATTCCAGACTTTGAATCGAATGTTCCTGCGAAAAAATTGGATTCTGATGCGTGGAGGCTTAAATATGAGAAGTTGCAGCCACTAGCATCTAGGAAACAGCCTTCGTCAACAGCTAAGCTATTAAATAATACAACCTTAGCTAAACAGAAGACCAAACAACCAGAAGATCAGGGCTCTCTTATTCAGGCAAAACCAAAAACTCTTTCTAGATGGACTCCACATGACAAAGAATCTTACATAAACTCCATGCATGTGTTTTATCCATCATCATGGCATACTGGTGCCTCAGCAACATGTATTAGTTCTCCTACTAGAGATTCTTATTCATATTCAACTTCAAAACCTGCTTCTATTACTTTAGGACTGCTGCTGTCAACTGATACAGCAGATGAACAAAACTGTAACATGGTGAGTCCTAGAAGGCCTTTATGTTGTTCTGCAACAGAGATTCCCACGAGTAAACCGCAATCCCCACTTGGCTCCCCAAAACAATTACCAAATGCTGTTCTGCATCAAGATCCTACTCTACGGTCACCAGTTCTTCATGCTAACACGTCTTTCTTGCATACATCATCTCCTAAATCTTCTTTGCCACCCTCTTCATATATTCACATAAATGCTAGATCTCCACCACCTCCACCACCACCACCACCACTACCTCCTCCACCTTCCAGTCACGTGGCCTCTAAAAGTTCAGCGTTGGTGCGTGGAAATGCACCTAAGCATAGAGCTCCACCAGTACCACCTCCACCTCCTGTACGTAAAGCTCAACCACAATTACCTCCCCCACAGCCACCCCGTTCACCTGGAGCTTTGCTTTCTCCACGCCTATCTAATGCTGGAGCTTTTCCACCACCCCCTCCCCCACCTCCTCCAATTCAGAAAGCTCCTCCACATTTAACCCAAGGGCGACAGGCTTTAAAATCTCCAACAACCTGTGTGGTGTCATCATCATTGCCGTCTCCAATTTGTAATGTGCCATCACCTCCTCAACCTACGACAGGTCCCCTTCCACTGGTTCCTTCTCCTTCCAGACCTTCAGGAGGTATGTCTCCACACCCGGGAGCTAAAGGAGTAAATTCTTCAACTGATGTGAAAACATCATCTGTTGTGAGGGGACGTGGGTTCTCACGGTCATTGGGCACGGGGGTGGCTGCTACAGGACCTCAACGATCATCATTAAAACCTCTGCATTGGAGCAAGGTGACTCGGGTACTACAAGGGAGCTTATGGGAAGAATTGCAAAGATTTGGAGATCCTGAAAGGTATTACAAATTCTTCTGTGAATCTACTCATTCATTTGATTGTGGTATTTTTTACTATCCACTTTCAAAGTGTGTATTTTGGCCTAGATGCCATAAGTTCCTTTAATCTTTAGCATTCACTATCCTTGCAATAACCAAGTTTTGATATTCTTCTTAGTGCACCAGAATTTGATGTAGCTGAGCTGGAGACACTTTTCTCTGTGACTGTCCCTAAACCTATTGTTGATTCAGGAGGTAAATCTGGAGGACGAAGGAAGTCAGTTGGATCAAAATTGGACAAAGTTCACTTGGTATTGTAGAACAATAAAATATATGTTTTATGTGATCGAGTCTTTAACTGTTGGTGCAACTAGAGTTGATGTAATATTTAATTGCAGATTGATCTTAGGCGGGCAAATAACACTGAAATCATGCTAACAAAAGTTAGAATGCCACTGTCTGACATGATGGTAAGCCAAGAAAAGTTATAGATACATTAGATATTTCTCTTTGGCACAGACTAATTTTTCCCATCATCAACTTCCCAGCGCTATAAGTTCTGATTTACTGATTGCTAGCCTTTATATCATGTAATGTTGTTGGGTGGCTCTGGTACTGAATAACTGTAGAAAAATATGAATTCGGATAGAAGATTTTAGTGACTTAAGAATCTCAGTTTTGAAAGGTTTGCTTTAAACTTACTAGAAAATATCATGATTTAGTTTCATTTTGTGCAGTATGGACTATCCGAGAATTTATGATGTCTTATTTTATGTCAACGCTATATAGGATTCCTCCTTTTCACTTTCATGCTTGCACAAATTTCTTCTTGAAAAAGAGAGATTTTAAGAGTTGGAGTTTGATCTTACAGCTAAAACCTTATTTCAACCCCAGCTCATCCTTTCACCATGGTAGCCAATATTTAGGAGTTGGAAAATACAGTATCAAACTGTTGGTGGCAAATTTCAGATCTTTTTGTGCTTGTTCTCGTACTGCATTCTTACTGTTACTGAAATTTCTCACGTGAGTAAGCGTTGTTTCGAACCTGGAAGATTAAAATGATCGAGCCGATTATTTTCTTACAATTGTCGATTCATCGTATAATACAGGCAGCAGTTCTCTCCATGGATGAATCGATATTAGATGTAGATCAAGTGGAAAATCTTATCAAATTTTGCCCCACCAAAGAGGAGATGGAACTTCTCAAGGTGAAAGATCTTGTAAAATACTATTTGATGATCCTTTATTCGATTTTCCGTTCTTAGATTCTTCCTATTATGGAAGTGATATCCTGCTCTTTTTAAATGTTCTGTCGCCTGATGCTCTTTACTTATGATCAATTAACTAAAGATTTCTCTTGTGCTTAAATTATTAAGGGATACTGTGGTGACAAGGAAAAACTCGGAAAGTGCGAACAGGTAATTTTCAGTTGCTCTGTTGAACAGTCATAGATTGTGTTACGTTTTTCTGGATTGCGGTTTGACATTTTCTTGGTTTCGATTTTTTTTCTGATTCAAATTACATGTTTTCTTTTCATTTTTCATTTGTTCACGCATCAGTACTTTTTGGAGATGATGCAAGTGCCTCGTGTGGAGTCAAAGTTAAGAGTGTTCTCTTTTAAGATTCACTTCAGCTCTCAGGTTCTGTGGTATCTGCGTCTCTTCATTTTTATCCTCTTTAGTTCTTCTCTATATATTGATTCTTGACCTCCTTTGCAGATAGTAGAGTTCAAAAAAAGCCTAAACACTGTAAACTCAGTCTGTCAAGAGGTCAATTGATAATGATAATGAATACGTTCCTCCACTTGTTTGATATATGTCAAATCTCAGCTCATTAATTTACGTTAATGCTTTAATAGGTGAAGAACTCTTGCAAATTGAAGGAAATATTGAAGAGAATTCTTTGCCTGGGGAATATGCTGAACCAAGGAACTGCTAGGGGTAAGAAACTTCTTGCATCTTTGTTGGATAACACATTTTTAGCTTACATCATGATACTTAAATGGGTCTATACGACACTATAACTTTATGTTCATGAAGTGTTTTAGTCAATGAATTTTGAACACATTACTAGCCGAAGGCATACCATGCAGGTTCTGCCATTGGATTCAGGTTGGATAGTCTCTCGAAACTCACTGATACTCGTGCTACTAACAATAAGATGACTCTCATGCATTATCTCTGTAAGGTACTATTTTAATTCATCTGTCTTGTTGATAAATTTTAATAGTTCTATCCTAATAAATATTTGGAAAGAACGAGAATGAGACGTTATATAACTTCAATACTATACTTTTGGTTTTTATTACAAAGGTTTCAATGATATCTCATCCTGAAGAGGGAGTATACTGTGGAGTGAAACTTTTATCATTTTATGTTCCCCCAATCCCCTCCTTCTCTCAAGTGTGGCAGGCTGTTCACGAAGTTTGTTTATGCATGTGCTTCAGGTCCTCGCTTCGAAGTCACCATCACTTCTTGATTTTCATCTGGACCTTAGTAGCTTGGAAGCTGCATCTAAGGTCTCCATATTTCTTGGTATTAAATTCAAACATTATGTATAGAAAACTTGTTTGACAGGGGTCTTGCTTCTCATGCAGATACAATTGAAGTCTTTGGCGGAAGAAATGCAAGCAATAACAAAAGGATTGGAAAAGGTGAAGCAAGAACTAGTTGCATCTGAAAGCGACGGCCCCATCTCCGAAGCTTTTCGTAAGGTACAAAATCTTTCTTCCTTCCCCCCATCTCCTGAGATTTGATGTGAAAGAATGAAATAAAGCAGTTTTGTACCAAAAAACAAAATTCTTTTGTTGGAATTCTTGACATCATAATTATGCAAACACTCTTTTGGTTTGGTCCTTCTCATCACCCCAGATGCACACACAAACATAGTCATCGTGAACACTTATAGTGGTTTAAACAACTTTTTATCTTGTATTTTTAGACATTGAAAGGATTTGTTACTCTTGCCGAGAAGGAGGTGGAATCTGTGACCGTTCTTTACTCAGCGACGGTAATCTTCTAGACCAGATCATTTATGTTGAGTTATAGTTTGAAGCTATTGAGAAATCAAATAGAACATGCTTTTTCTTACTGCTTTGTGGCAGGGTAGAAATGCGGATGCACTTACACAATATTTTGGCGAGGATCCTGCCCGTTGTCCATTTGAACAAGGTTAGTAAATGGTACACAGCTTGGCTTTTTGTAGTCTCTTGTTGTGTGGTAATAGCTGCAGAGTCTGCAGTTCATCATTCCTCATGTAGCTTAGTTTACTAATGAGTCAGAAGAATCATCATCTGTATAGAGTATCCTCTCTCTACCCGGTCGTTGTCATGCGGGATCTGATTCCTTGTGTTCAATCCAATGCAGTTACAGGAACTCTCTTCCATTTTACTCGTTCCTTTATGAAAGCACACGCAGAGAATTGCAGGCAGTTGGAAATGGAGATGAGAAGGCTGAGAAAATAAGTGAAATTTGGAAAAAGGCCACGAGCATCATCAAGCTGATGAAGAAGTTTGTGAGGGGTGATATTCAATTCGACGATTGCAACAAGATACGATATAGTATCCGAGGATGTCAAAAAGATCCTTTCTTAGGACACCAGAAATCTAAGATCGATAGAATTTGGAAATTGCAGAAACTTTAGCATCCCACAAGGCTAATCTAGGACAAGGATCATCCATGCTATGCCAAAATTATGACTCTGAATTCTCTCCAAATGAACAAAATTGTACTTCAATCTTATGTGGTCATAACGTAGGATCAAGAAGTAAAGGAAACATAGGCTTACTTTTTTCTGCAGAATCTGAGTTACTTAGATCCATTGGAAGGATCAGGCCCTTTGGAGTCATAGCCTTCTTGAAAGAGTTCATGTAAGTAGAGAAATTTGATTTCAGATTTACAACAGACCAGCGCCTAAGAACCGTTCAGACTTCAGCCGTAGGATCTAACACCTGGCATAATAGCTATCTGTACAAAGCTCTCTCCCTGTTCATATCTTATGATTGACACCAATTCTGTAACATTCAGAGGTTCTGTCCCTGAAGATGTTGTATAGCTCTTTAGTTAAGATGTTAGAAGTCAGCCATAGCTAACTTCTGTGACTGTAACATAATGTACTACTCTACTTCTTAGACAGAGCATGAAGCTATCAACATTTGGCAGAGTAGTGGGGCCTTCTTGCATGTATATATATAGTACAAGGAAGCAAGCTAATCATAAGTACATCAAGAAAATGGGCTCCCAAATTGACCCCACAATTGCTAGAATCTAGTTTCTAGAGATCGTAGTTTTTCAAATCACCATAAATGAATGGAAGTTCAGAAGAACTTCAATTTTTTCATCAACATTATTAAAGAACTTCAATAGTTGACCTTATTTTGAATTTATAAACACACAAAAATTTGTCTCATGTTTGGTTTTGGTGCTTTTTTTTTTTTTTTTTTTTTTTTTTTTTTTTTTTTTTGTGTGTGTTCTTCTAACGTCCTGCTCCTACCTAGAGTTCTAACTTCTAACCCACGAGCAAAGGCTCTGTTTTTAATGCATTTTCCATCTGGGTTCGTCAACTATTGCTTGAAACAAGAGTTATCTTTTCCACATAATGCCCAAACATTTTCCATCTGGACCAGATCAAGGCTCTGTTTTTAATGCATTTTCCATCTGGGTTCGTCAATTATTGCTTGAAACAAGAGTTATTTTTTGCACATAATGCCCAAACATTCGGGTTGGCTGAGAGAATCAGATGTGTTCAAAAGAAGAAATGTTTGAAGATTTGAACTAGGCTGCTAGAAATTGAGTTTTATTCTTCAATCAAGCTCTGACAAATGGAGGTTTGTATATTCTACTACAATGCAACTCTCGGATATCTACAATGCGAAAACCAAAGTGAAATACATAAAAGACAAACGGCAAGAACAGAGAGAACTGAAGGAACAGCTACAGATTTTTCACATGGTTTCTGCTCCTGGATCTTTGTTTCTACTGTAGATGCTTATCCGTATGAAAAAAGAAAGTTGCTTGTTGAATGAATTCCACGGGCTTTTATTGTTCTTTAATTGAATTCTATATACTTCTTTCCTGCAGATTGTCCTGTTGGATGGATTATCCACAAGTAGTTGAATGCAGGTGATGTAGAGCCTTTGAATCGATGCAGCCACCATCGTCTTCTTCTACAGAGTCTATTTGAAGAGCTTGTCTTCCTTCCAGATCCACCCAGTAAACTGGCTTGCAACTCTTGAAGAACAGACAACTCACCACGGTGTCGAGGACGATGAAAATGGAGTACAAATATGCAATGATGATCCCTTCAGACACCATAGAAAGACTTACCCTTCCAACAACAATATAAGTTCTCACTACACGGTACTGGAACAAGGCTTCAATTGCAGCCATGGCTAAGTTTGTAGGCAGAGCCAAAAGTAATGCTGTGGAAGTTTTCCCTCTTATCAGAACACAAGCCTTGAGTATTGCAAAGTAACCTCCAAGCCTTTCCATGCCTGACAAAACTAATGCTAGGTTGCTGATAACCATTGTATTTGCAAGAACTAATGAATACAGGACAGCTCCAGCTGCTGAGAACCAAAGGAAGCTGGTGGAAGAAGAAAAGCCAAACCCTTCAAGGGAATTGAAAGAGAAGAAAAGTATAGAAAAGACTGTAAAGGGATTGAGTTGCAAATATGGGTGAAAAGAAGAGGAGTGTAAAGGGATCTGATAGAGGAAAAGGAGGGGTGAGAGCTTGGTTTGGTGTCCTTGAAAGCTTGAAGAACAGAGGCTTTTGCAATGAGCAGAAAGGTAAGAGTGAAAGGAAGAGTGAAGATGGAAGAAAATATCGTTTGGGAAAGCTTGTGAGTGAAAATGGATAAGGATTCCAAGGAAGGAGGGAATCCTGCAGCATCAAAAAGGATGTTGAAGCGATGGTATATGCTTGGAAGAAGAGAAGTGAAGGAAGTAAAAACAAAAGTTTGTGAGAGAAGAAGAGAAACTGAGAAGGGAAATGCAAGGAATGCTGAAAAAGAGGTAAAATACTGATAATTCTGCAGGAAACTGAAGATTGATGTTCTGATGATGCTGCTGCTGCTGCTTGTCTTCCCCATTTCAATGCCTGGATTTTTGTGTATTGAGAAGGCTGCCTCCTCTCCCCTGCCCTCCCCTGCCTTGCCCTGTGTGTTGAGCTGTATATATTTCCTTGCTTTTGGTTGGTTGGGGGGGTTGCGTTTGATTATGCTTTTGAAAAGTGGGTTAAATGGATAGGCTCAACCACTAAATGATAGCAGAAATGGCCAAGAGTGAGTTGTTCAAGCATTGCATTGTTTTTACCAAAGGAATCAGTGATGAACTGTCTTGGTGTGCTGCAGTTTGCAGGGCCCTTTGTAATCTCCAAACCCCACTGACCGTCTTGTTTAGCTGTTGCAATTACAGACAAATACAAGAGCCATGATTGATTGATCGGTATATTTATTCTTCCTTAATCATGTGATTTTAAGGTTCTGTGTTGTTGTAGAAGTAAATACAGAATCCAAGCAGTAGATTGTGAAGAGGTGTGTAGTAGATGCCTTGAAATTGAAGAAACCAATGCCTTTTCTGGAGGCTAGTAAATAAGTAGATGCTTGGAAATTCAGACTACAAAAAGGCTCTTGAAAATGAAAGTGTAGCTATCAGAAAGGGAGTAAAGAATCACTGCCAAAGATTGAATGAATCTTAGCTTGCAAGAGAATGAACTTGAATCAATCATGGTACCCATCAACAAACCTTGGAGTAGCTTTCAATTCTCCTTCTAATTTTTTCAAATTTCACATCGATTGGAAAGAAAAACGAAACATTCTTTATAGAGGTGTGGAAACCTCTCCCTAATAGACGCGTTTTAAAACCGTGAGACTGAAGCTATCAGTAACGGACTAAAGCAAATAATCTACTAGCGATGGGCTTGGGCTTGAACTGTTACATGATATATGATGCATCATTTATGCAAATTTGCATCAACTTTATGGTAAAGAAATGTTTAAAAAGCAAAGGTTTAAGTTTTGTATTATATGGTTGGAGTTTAGAAAAGGAAAGAATATATATATATATATATATATATATATATATATATATATATTGATTATATTAGTTGAAACTTGAGTAATTTAATTGATGATCATAACCTCCACAACTTGCTTTCATAATCAAAACCCATTAATTATTTTCAATATTTTGTTTTGGTTCTCAAATACAATAAAACAAAATAGTGTCGGTGTAACCACTCTTTCCATTTTAATCAACATTAGATCACCTTTTACAATCCTACACACAAACCCAATTTCTCATACTTCTAATTCAAATTTAGCTACCCGTATTTACTGTCCGAAAATTTTTACGTCGAAATGTTGAATTACAAGTCTAGTCTTTAAATTTCTGTATTCCTGTCTATTTAATCTTTAAACTTTAAAAACTGTGTACCATACAACTTTTAAATTTTTATGTTTAATAAGTGATTTAATTTTTTATTGGTAAGAAATTTATGGAGTAATTTGGTTCATATTAAAGTTACTGCAATATTTGAAAAATCTTAGTTAATTTATGTTGTGCATGTAAATATGTATACAATAATGTTTTCAATTATGATAAAGATTAGATTATGATTGAAATTATTGGAAAAGATGGGCCTACGACTTTCCTACAAACCGACACCAAAAGATCCATAATTACTCTTTAATATTACAGAAATTAAAACATTTAAATATTATGTTAAATATCTCATAAATTAATAATACTTTTAAAATTTTAATTTTGTATCAAATTTGGTAGCATACCTAAATATTTCACGTATTAATATATATGAATTATTTTTTTTATTATATTTTCAAGTTGAATTAAAATCAACGCTAATTTGATTAATAAAATAAAAGAGCACTTGATGTAGAAGAAAACTATTCAGTTATGACCGTGTGGTTGAGTGGTCAATCGTAAATTTGAAAATTCTAACGAGGTGTCGAAATGTTCGTCATTTTTTCTAACGTTAATTTATTATTATTATTTTAATAATTATATCGGATTATTATAATTGTGAGGTGACTTGACTTGTGAAAGGATAAGATTTGGAATGATCATATGCTAATAATTGGCGTTAATTAGTGTTTATTTTAGTAATTGCATGACCTACCCATAAATATTATTATAATCTTTATTTAAATCAATTGTTTGTCTGCTATTAATTCTCTATTTTTTTTTTCTTATCAAAATTAATTTAATATTTGATTTTATAAGATAATTTTTATACCACAAAATTAATTTAAAAAATAATTTAACCCATTTTAAAATTACTTTAAATCATGTAACTAATATACATTATTTTAATATATATATATAAATTTTTGAATGGTTGACTTTATCAATATAATAAACTATATAGTTCATCCATGTTTATTGTTTATTACCATATTTTAGTTGTAGTTTGTACTATCGAAATTATTTGTATGCACCAACAACTCATTCGAGCTATTTTTTATGATCGATAATTCGACTAATTCGAATTATTCAACTAAAATTATAAATGTTAGGTTGGGTTATATAAATTTTTTGTTTGGATTGCAAGTTGACACTCTTTTGGTTGGTTAAATTCGACCAACTCGAAAATAAGGTTACGATTCAACTCAACCTTACCCTATTTTTAAAAAGATTAATAATATTTAACGCTTGTAACTGACGTTCGTGATACATTGTGATTTATAGATGTTTGATATTTTAATTATCAATGAAATATATATTATAGATAAGTATAATTTTTAAAACTAATAATCGAATCCAATCCAATCTGAGAATGTTTGCTTAATCCACCACCGTGAAAGTTCTCTATTTATAATCAAATAAATTACAAGGATATGAAAATAATAATAAATGGAAAGAACAATATATGGGAAGATACCTATAGTAAGGAACACAAATATTTATAATAATATATCAAATATGATATATATGGTAAACTATAATTTAGTATTAAATATCCTTAATACAATCCAACTCAACCCAACTCGAAAATAGAAGGTTGAGTTGGGTTGTGAATTTTATTCGCGTTCTCAAGTTACCAACCTAAAATTTCAAGTTAGTTCAAAAAATTTCTAACTCAACCGAACCTGTATACACTTTATTGGGTTATAATTGTCTGGTGAACGCCATTTGTTTTG